AAATTATGATAAACCTTAATTATTTATAGTGAAAAGATAAATAACTAATATTTTGTGCAAATGATATATGTAAGAGCTATATGTAAGTAATTTTTAACCATATATATAAAAACATGGGTGTGGTTATAATCACACACCATTGTGTTACAACCACATAAATTTTCTCTTTTTATAAAATAGTTAGTTATAATATTTGAAAATATTAGTAAATAAATTGATTTTAATTTATTAAGTAATAAATGTCAATTATTTTATCATCTATCATCTATAAACTAACAATTACATTTATTAATTATTTTTAACAATTAAACCAAATAAGATTAGCATTTTAGAAAACAATATTCCATAAAAGAGCCCAAAGCAGTCGACCCATGAGTGATGTAAATAAATTAAATACGTATAAATACATATTTTATATATCATCATTCAAACGTATAAATACGTTACTTTTCAAACTGATGTTCTGAAGACTGAAGTCAATCCAGGACAAACTGCAAATACAACAGCCCCACAATCTGACTTCTGCAGTCCGTGCAGCAAATAAGCAAAAGACCTTCCTGTAATCTTTTGTATTGTTTGCAATCCATAGCATAATCCGGCAGATTGACAAAAGCCTCACTACAATAGCAAATTAGCAATTTAGCTCTTAGCATTAGTACGATATAGATATTTGTTAGGGATAGACAGAAGCTGTGATATACATGTACATCGGTCCAAGGAGAAAAGGAAAAACTAACCTAAAAAAAATTATATTTCAGTTTAAAAAAAGAATCAAAATTTCTACCCACAAAGAAGAATCAGAAGAACCGAAGTATTTCAACATTTTGTACATCCACAGAGACTTCTGCTTCTATGCTTTCCGCAAATTCACCGGTTTTTTGTGGATTTTCTTTCCATCAAACCCGAGTTCAAAAATCCCAACTTCTACAACCTGATCTCTGTTGGGATTCTGATGCCTCTTGCTCTTTCCTTCATCTATCCTTCAAATCTCACAAGATTTCAAGGAACAAGGCAACCATTTTTCGCTACTGTTCTACTCATTAGATGTATTGTTCTCTTTCTGTTGTTTCCGACGAACAAATTCATCTAAAGCTTCCCTCATCCACCCATTCTTAAATCCTTGTGTCGCTTCATCCACAGTTACCTATATAACACAACATAAATTCAGAATTTTACCCTCTTATAATATTTATTATCATTGTTCACAACTATAATGTTCCATCCATACATACCCATCTTCGTTTCCGGATATTCTTCTCTGGCCAACAATCTAATTCTCGGTCAACAAGCAAAGGAAACATGTGTCCCCAATGAATAATACTACCGCGTTTGCTGACGTACTCCCACTTACCCAATGCACCCTGCAAACAAATCCCAATTACAGCGTTAAAACTTTATATCATCAAACGGTATAACAATCAAGCAAGCAACCCAAATGAATGTTTAACAGATATA